GTTGTTCTGTCATCTTGCACTTAGTAGCTTGACAGAAATTACTATAATTGCCTTTTTGTGAATAAGGCAAGCAAGGCTCTTTACACTGGAAAATGTAAAAGTAATCAGAAAAAAAAAAAAAAAAAGGTTTTCTAAGGTACAGAAGTGGATGAAGAAGATTGGTGAGCAGAACACTGGATGAAAAGAAGAGAGTTGTATGGATTGAAACATTGAGTAAGTAATAAAGTTAAGGAAAGCTGGTTCAAGTTTAGGCCTGATTCATATTAACTCTAAGGAACTCTTGTAGTATCTACACAGCACCAGTAGCAAGGACCACAGAATGCAGATCCTCAGAGTAGTGATGKAGGATGTGAAACTCTATTACTGGGGAAATTAAAAATGAGATGAGATGAGGTAGCAATAAGAGCTGACTTGTAGATATTGAAGGATGCATTCTTTCAGACAAACACGAAGAAATGTAATAAATGTGGTGTTCTAATGCAATCCAAGTTAGAAGATATAAGATACAAAAGGGGAGAGGATGGATGAAATAGAATTGGCCACGGATATCTTGGATTTCTTTGGTCTAGAATTAGGAATCAACTAAGTCAGTGAAGATCTCAGTAATGTTATTAGAAAGATCTCTTGAAAGAGATTTCTTTCTAGATGATTTCCTTCTAGAAATTACGTTTCTATAGAAAACTTTAATTTCCCAGTTTTAACATGAAGAAAATGCTACAGGGTGTAAATAGACTCAGAGGTGAGGCTGTATGARAGCATGGAGTATTGCTGTCTGCTGCAGACATTGATCCTTGGTCCTCTATTACACCTTTAAATCTCAACTACAAGCACTTATAAATTTGAGGAAATTTTTATTCTGCTTCTAACACTGAAGCAAATGCAGGACCTTTGTGAGCAATTCCTGTGCCTTCAGCAATGATAACAGTGAGAGACTATGCAGCATTTACTATCAAGGGTCATTTCAGAAAACCTACATCTAACAATATATCCAACACCAAGAAATATTTTGATTTTTTTCCATAAATATCTAGAATAATTTTTAAATCCCATAAATGATATTAGGAAAATGAAATACCTGAAACTCGTGATTCTAGTTACTGCTTGTTATATTGTTCAGAGCCAAAATAATAAAATCATTTTATTATCCATATCATTGTTAAATAGGAAGGGAGGTTAGGTTTCTAATATTGCATTTTAGATGGAATAGAACTGGGAACTAATTAGATTGCTGCTGACAATCTTCTTTTATTCCACGTAGCATCATTAAATTTCATTGACTATTTTAATGAACTGGAAGTATGCTGGTAAAAATTGTTCCAGGATGTAAGAGACACATTACCAAGTAAACAGAATCTTTTCCCTCCATCCCCCGGCTCACAACAGCCATGTCTGTGAGCTGTTAAGTGAAAATTAAAACATTTTTACAGAACGTATTGATATGCATCACTAATTTGTTCTCAATCCTTAATTCTATTGCACTGCTCCTGCTACTATTAGAGCAGATTGACTGGAGAGGAGTAATTACCCAAGGCTTCATTACAGACCCTCACTGGCGCTATATTATTGTGCTCCCTTTGCCAGCAAGATAGTGGGMTAATAATTAAAAAGTGAGATGTGTTGCTATGAGTATTTTTTAGTAGCCAACTGATTGGAAAAAACTGTTCTCAGTCACTCTTGATAAGCTGAACCAAGATCTCTCTTGAGGTAGTTTGTAGTAGTTTGTTTTTCTCTGTAGCTATGTATGTAACTTTTTATTAGTTTATTTATTTTAGAGAATATTATAATGTTAACATCCAAGTCTAAATCTGCAGCCTTGATTCGAGTTGAACACTGCTTACACAGAGTAGACCACTGGCTCTAATGAGTCTACTCAAGAAAAGAACACAACAAGAGATGCAGAAAGTAGAATTGCTTTCTGGGCAAGAACTCCGTGTTGGTATTTAGTCTTTGATTGAAATAATTTTTTTTTCTCTAATCACTACCTACAGGGAGTCCTAATTTTTACTTTTTATTTTTTAAATTTTTATGGGCAATTCTCAGTTGTCTTGAGCTTGTCTAGAAATGGCAGTTGGCCCCCCAGTGTGATAGACTGTGATTGATGAAGCTGCCTTCGCCTGGATCCCTGGAACTAACACCCTGCACTTGCAGCTGCAAATGTTTTACTTAGTTACAGAATAGTTGAAATAATTGTTAGCAGATGGCAGTTAACAGGCTCTCCTGAAAGTTTTTGTTGTCTAATGGCTTGAAAAATAAAGCAGAGTTACAACAATCAAGTGCAATTTGGTTATTATGTGCTGCAATTAAAAGTTAAGACTAATTCTTGGAGATTGTCTTTTTTCATGATTTTAGACTGTATACCATACAATTTTTTTTTTCTGGCAAACAAGGCTAAAAGACARCACAGTGCAGTATTTTTATAGAAGTTGATATACTTATCCAGTATTAGGATTACTGAGCAAAGAGGAGACATACACCTATATGCAAAACATATATAGGTGTTACAGTACTATGCCATTACTCATGAATTTTGCATGGCTCCAGATTCCAAAAGCCAGTGGATAAAGGAGCTGCTGGATTTGCTGATATGATGACTCAGTTCCAATTCAAGCCTCACACTGCATTTCTCTCTGCTATTAATATTCCTGCCACTCTGTCATTAACTTTTTTTTTTTTTTTTGTATTTCTTCTTTTAGCTGTTTCAGGTTAAGTAGGTGTATGGGAATTCTTTTGACACTGTAAAAGCTCGTCTGGGAAATAGGATGCACTGCTCAAGAGAGCTGAAGTCATCATTTGTCTGCTGGCATAAGCAGAGATGTCAGACATATGCTGTTCTGCTTGGGTGGTAGGAGGGTTTACAGGGATTAGGCTTACCCTAAACTGTACAAACTCTGTGAAAACTGTGTCCAGCCAGTGGTCAGAGCAGGTGCCTGAAAGGGAAGTTCACCTGTCTCCTCTGATGCTACACAAAGAGAAGATGTGCTAAGGAAAGGTGATGATGTTCATGTTCCACTGTTTTCTCCACACACTTGGCATTAAACAATATATTTTGACACAGAGAAGTTTAATCTGTTCTTTCCAAACATGCATTTAGGGTCTGCTTGGTTTCAGCTAGCTGGGAATAGTAGTACAAGTTTTTCCTTTAGTATTGATTTTAAAGGAAATGTCAGTATATTCTTGYATGAAGTGTATGTATCTTGTTTTTACCTATCACTGGCTCAGCAATTGGCCTAAGGCAACTCAGCCATGTTCTGCGCACCAGTTCTGTATTCTAACGAGCTCATGCTTGCACTGGGCCCAGGAAATGGGCAGAATTTTTGCTACATGCTTCTGCTCCCTTATCTAAGAAAAGTGAAACAGTCATTAAAACAAAATCTACCTCAGAGGGTTGTGCAGAGAATCCACTCCGCCAATTCCACGCACAGGTTACGGTCTGGACTTTTGGTTTGATTTTGAGTCTAGGGGTAGGACTTAGGGGTAACTGGACTGTTCGGAGCCTCTTCTGCCCACCTGTTACAGCAGGTTATGTTTTATATGACAAAATGAAGCACTGCTGCCGTTTACCCGTGAGAGCAGGCAGAGCAGTCATGCCAAAGTGCAACGAGTAGCTTGGTCACAGCGGTACTGGGAAGGGTGTGCGAAGACTTCCATGCATCTGTACTCCTTGGAGCTTCTTTACTTGGAGTTTGCCTGTAGGATTAGGTAAATTTTCTACGGTGTGTTTTATATTGCTTGAGCTGATGAGTAAAATGCCCCAGTGCCGAGCTGCACCACTGTTCACCCTCTTCTTGGACCTAGGCAGAGCAGCACCACTCGAGCTGCACTCCCTACGTTGAGCTTGGTGCGAGCGGGACACGTAGTGCCAACCACCAGATGGCCTGATGTCTGAATTGTTAAAAATAGTAGTGTGCTACTGGGATAATTATAGCACCCTTAGACTGAGTGAACAGATAGGTAGTAGATGATGAATAGCAAACAGAGAGAAGAGAAAATGCATTTATAGAAATAATTTCTTTAATATTTAATACTTTAATTATTAAAAATGYTCTCGGTGTTTTTCTGTTGAAATTTTCTATTTGCGAGCAGATTTTTTATATAAAGTGCTATTAGTAAAATGGAGTTATAGATACATCAATACTGTAATAGCCTAGCTTTAATTGTTTATAAAGTAGAAATCAAAGCTTTAGGACTTAATAGCAAGAGGCACTCCATCTCAAAGTAGTAGTGGCAGACTGGTATGTTTGAATCAAAACCAAAAGTTTTTTAACTGTAAATTTCTTAATATGCTTTGTAAGCTTTGTAGTCCCTCTCTTACTTCTCCTTCCCCTTCTCCACTACTTCATCTTCAATTCACTTTCTCATTTGTTTCCGTTTTGATTTGCTTTTTGTAACAGCTTCTAGATTCTCAATTCTATAGCGCAGGAACAAGGCATCTGATTCTGTACAGTTCTTAATACTAAAGGACTCTGATCTTTGTGTCCTTCACGTTGAGAGACCCTCAATTTTTTTTTTTTTTTTTTTTTTTTTTTTTTTTTTTTATTACTATTAACTGCATTTTAAAATTCTGTTTCTTGGAGACTTGGGAAGGAAACCAAGGTTTCATGTTCTGTTAAGTTTCTATTAAGATTTACCAAATATCTGCCCTGGTTGAGTAAAGAAAATAGAGTTCCTTGGTTATGTCTAATGCCAGACTAGCAAAAGAAGCAGAACAGAGAATGACTCTTCTGGAAACTTGATGTATCATCAGGAGCAGAAGAGACATGTCTTTCCCTGTTGCTGTCACCCAGAAATATCCATATGGTCTGTCCTACCTTTTCACTTACAGTCCATTTTAAGCAATGGCAAAGAACTGGAAAATTCTCTTCATTGTTTTACAAGTCCCTGTCCTTATCTCCTTAAGCTTTTTGATCATTAAAATTCTGTTGTGTGTTATCCATTAACAGTGAGAGATTTAACAACTCCAAATATGTTCTAACGTTTCTTGGTCTCTTTTTTTTCCCCAGAGCTTGTGTGATCTTGGGTGTCATATTCCTGCTGTCATCTATATGTATTGTGATCAAAGCCATCCATGATCTTGCAAAGAAGGTGCTTCCAGAAGTGGTAAGGTGATTTCTGTTCTTTAAAATGTTCCATTCCTCATACTTCCAGTGCAACTGAGGAAGGGCAACATCTTGCAGTGAGCCTCGTTGWGCTCAGTGGAGTTGTAGCAAGTGTCAGGCCTGCCTTGGCTGAACCTCACTGCAGGTCGTTGTCTTGAATAAGTCCTTTTTTTCTCATGTGAGGCTAGTATTTAGGGATCCTTAATCCTTAGGGATTTTGTAAGGATGGTGGTATGCTTTCTTCTCCCGAGTTACTATTGCAGACCAAATCTTTTTGAACATAAATGCTTAAAACTTCTATACAGGACAGTAGGAGTTCAGTGACACTGAGAGGTATTTTTGGACTATATATATATATATTTTGTTTTCCAGCTCTTGCCTCTAATTCCAGAGCCATGTACAAGTAGCAGGAATAAAACAGGTGAGGAGAGCATGCTGGGTGAAAGAGCTAGCTTTTAACTGGCTCACAATGGAGCATTGCCTAAGGCTTTTTTCTTGCTGTCTGCTTTCTTTTGGTATGGAAGCCAGCCGCTACCTGGCTTATGGAGCAGATCTTCCCAGCAGCCTTCCTCTCAGYGCTGCTCTGTCCTGTCCTGCTTGCTTCCTTTCACTAGTGGTTATTAATTTCCCTGAGCTCTACTCATCCAAACCAGTTACTCACAGGAAGAGCCAAATGGCAACTTTTTGTCTCCCGCGAGACTCGTCTTTATTTTCACTTGTTCCAATGTACTCAGACGAAATGAAGCTTCAGTTCAGTTGTAGTACGTACAACCAGACTTCAACTTCTTTTGTATTCAGCCTTCAGAAAACTTGGTCCATTTGTAAGCGTGTGCAGACTCTAGCATCAGGTCTTGATCTTCAAGGACCATTCCCCACACAACAYTGGAGAAAAGCCTCAACTACTTGCTTTCAGCTGGGAGATGGAGGCATCGAGCGGACTGTTCTCATTCATATATGTGCTCAAGTAATAACAGCTGGTGGGAAGATATATCTGGCAGGGCGCAGATTGAGGCTGACTGGTGGCAGGGTAAATGCCACATGTGCACACAGAGACAATTCGCAGGTCTTGGAATTCTGCCTGGAAAGTAGGCTAGAAGCAGGGAAGGRAAAAGATGGTACTTTCAGTGTCTCTTAAAATGACATGGCAAAGCCTTTGCTTTTCAAACCCTTGCCATATTCCACTGCCTCTCACTATATGAAAACGATACAGGTCAAGGTTGCATGACAGGTGAAATATCTCTGTGTAAACCAAAAATAACATTGAAGAAAGGAGAGAGAGAGAGAGAGAATACTGTTACAGCAAAGACACTGTTGTCAGCAGTGAATTACTATGCTAAGAGCTACTGCATAAAATACTTGGGGGGAAAAGGGTGTTGTTTAACATGAACTCTTTCACTTGTCTGAATCTGATGCTGATTTCTATTTGCTCAGCTTAGCTGCTGTTTCTCAGTCAAAACGGCCTTTTTTCCCTTGCCAGTTAAGTGTGGTCTCAGCCGATGTGCAGCTGCCCAGACATTATCATTGGTGTCTTGGAGGGTCAGAAATCTGATGAGTGCCCAATAGGGGAAGAAGTTTCTGCATCTACTCTCGTTCTTTTTATAGGGTAATGGCTTCTATTACATGCAACACTAGTGAATAAATAGCTAATATAACAAATTTCTACAATATATGGAAATATATTGATTAGAACAGCATTATGTCATAATGACTTTTTGCATAGCACTGTATAGTCAGTTGTGCATCAAGTTCACGACCTCAAATAGTTTCTGATGGTGATTCCTGTAATTTTGAGATTACTCTAATTCCAGGGAAGTTATCCTAGAGGAGGAGAACTGAGGAAAGATTAGAGTAGTTCCACTGGTCCTCAAACTAGTTTAAATCTGTTGTTAAGGTTTGAAAGGATATATGTGAAAGCATAATTTTTATGTGTGAATCATAATAGCAAGATGGTGCAATTAATGTCTAAATTACTCTTTCTTGAGGCAAAGGTCATTAAAGATGTAAATACTTTTCAAAGTATTTTGAGAAATTTTAAATGTGTAATTCCTATTTTAAAGGAAATGTGGTGAAACCTTGCTGGAAAATGTTCCTGTTAGTACTTACATGTTGAACACAAAGCTATTGTTGTCTGCCTGTCTGAAGACAGCTTATGTTTGGACTCAGTGATCCCAAAGSTCTTTTCCAACCAAAATGATTAGGATAGAAACAGTTTTGAATGTGTTGCTGTACGGTTATCTGGAATTCAAGACTATCACGAAGACGTAGAGCAAAGTGACTTACTACATCTTAGTCAGAACCATGGGTATCACATTTTATAACTTATTTTGTGATTAACCCCAAGTGATTTCAACACAGTTAATACAGTACTTACAATACTTACAGTACTTACAACTTACAAGTAACACAGTACTTACAATTTTTCTGAGCTCATTTTGATTTACTTAGGTTTGGGAGAAAATGATTTATAATATGGATATGTTTTGTAATGGATAAAACAGATCAAGTATCTTTTTGTTAAATATAAGCTGCTATGGTTAAAATCCTCAAAGAGTAGTCTGTCACTTGTGAATCATTCTGAATCAGTTATATGAAGCTCTTCATATGCCTTTCATGAGAGAAATGTTCATTTCCCATTTCATGTGGGTCATTTAATTGTCATTTAATGTGTTGTGGAAGCTATTTCCTTAGAAAGAATTTCTGAGATCTTTAGAGATTTCTTTGTCCATGAAATGGCTCTCAGAAGAGTTGCTACTAACATACTACTGATGAAAATACTACTAATAACAAAGGATATAAAATTCACACCACCAAAAAATCATTTAAAATGCCCTTCAGATGTTTTAATGGAATTTCCAGCTTTGGTATATRATTTTTCTAAGGGACTTGAACGCCCACAGTATATTACTAAACTGCAGAGAGGAACTACTTAATTTCCAGCATCGGAGCTCATAGTCCACTAAGTCAGGCTCTCTTCGCTCACATCACTGAGTTCTCTTTTATTCCTTGTCCAATGCAATTTAATTGGAACAAGCAGAAGGACAGCACTCCCACTCTGCATTGGTGTAGAAGCCGAGGAGAATTAGGGCTGTTGACTTTTGCATTTTCCGATCATGCCTCCCCATCCCTCCTTTGTTTGTTTCCCCCTTCCATTGTGTTGAGTAACAATAAATAGTGTGTAGTGTACGTCAGTGCACATTCAACGCACGCAGTGCTTTTAATAATTCTTCTTAAYGCTTCAGGACCTTGGGAAAAAGAGAAGTGCTCTTTTCCCTTCCTAGTTGCCTTGCTTGGTAGGCTATGGAATGTAGTTACCTTGGAAATGCTTATAAAGTAGATGGGGGTAGATTAATCATTTAGATCCTGGTAGTTTTAAATGAGAGCTGTTTGTGCAGTTTTACCTCCTGGTAGAAGATAAAATTTTGTATGTGGCCTTAGAGGCACCTTGTCACCCTTGAATCTCTCAGCAAACTTTTCTTTCTTTCTTTTTTTTTTCTTTTTTCTTTTTTCTTTTTTCTTTTCTTTCTTTTCCCCACTAAAATTCTTGCCCTGGAATATAGAATTCTGAGTCCTGTATTCACTATAATCCTTGTACTGGAAGAGGTACTTTGCCCTAATAACCTTCCTTCCTTCCAGGAGTTTACGTCCATTGCAGGCCTCAGCTTCTAGATTGCAGGGAAAAGCTGTTTATTTAATCATACCTCCCATGGAGATGGTCTTTGTCTTTCTTGGTACCTTTCTCCTTAACTCTTTTCTTGGTACCTTTCTCTGTAGCTCTATCCTCATTTTCAGATGGGAAACCCTAAGAGCACGTAGACTTCAAGATACAGGCATCACCATGGGCTTGCACAGTGTCATGTTCATTTTTTACTTTTGAGCATTGAATTAATATTTTTGTAGAACTTTTCTAACTGTGATTCTCACTCCTGTACTTAATAAGTTAAGTTCAGAATTAGTCACCGTTATGTAAAGTTAGACTTTTCCCTGTGTGCATTAATTTAGATAATAATTAAAAAAAGAAGCCTGCCCTGAAAATTGGCATGCTCTATCAGGAGAATTGGCCAGTGAATTAATTGTATTGTTACTGTATAATCTATGCTTGTGTTATTTATACACTTATTAATATCATGGGAAAAAGACATTTGTTTTTAAGTAATTGAGGAACTTATTCATCTTAAGCGTTCAAAATGGAATCGCTTGTGCTACAGCAGTGTTTTCAGTATCTGTGATATAGCGTAGTGGTTTGCAACGACTGCACCATAGAATTACATTGTGCACTATGTTTTTTAAATTAATTAATTTATGAAGTCATGAATTACACAGTTAATGATGAGGCAGAGCTGGCTGTAGCTACTACTGCCGCTAAAGACCAGAAACCACCGATTTTGAGTATATGAGAGAGAAGCATAATGCATTTTTTTTCTCATTTATGGCAGTATGAATAATGAAAAGAATCCTGCAGCTGAGCTTCCTTACATACTTTATTCAAGTGTTGTCCTGGCTGGGGATGGATGTACAATTCCTGCTGTATTCTGCACCTCTTGTGACAACTTGTATCAAACCAAAAAGTCTCTGTGTGAATTGGAGTTTTGTTGTTGGAAGTTTGGAAATAACTTTTGAGGGGCACCAAAAAACTCTCTGGTTTTTAGTCATGGGAATAGATGATAAAAATAAAGTTTTCCTGCCCCTTCAGGGAGGATCTGACTGTCAGCTGACCTTAGATTGCTTTTGCAGAGATGGTTCAGTTTCCTTTGGAGACAAATTTGTGTGGAGGTGTAGATGTAGTTCCTGGAGGCATCACCACATAYGCACAAGTCTCTATCTGTCTGTGACCTCCTTTCCCGTTTGTCTGCAAAGATTTTAATTAAAGCTTTTATATTTTACCAATTTAGAAATGTGATGACATTTTACACTTGCCTTGGAAAGTGTTGTTTTTGATGGAAATCTTACTGTTTCTTTCCTGTTCTTGCCATRTAGCTAGTATGCTTAAGCATTTGGGTTAAA